TGTCCCCCAGTGTTCGGCTGGCGAGGCTCATCCTCGTCTTCACTTTGTGTTTCCCCTCCCCTGTGTTCGGCGTTTAATTTGCCGGCCTGCTTAAAGACCCAGCATTCTCTATGAGTGTGGTTCGCAGGTTTCTCGGGGGTGCCATGGATTTGGCACAGTCTGTCCAGGACTTTATTCAGGCCAGATGGTCCTTCTTTGTTGGCTTTAAGTGGCTTCTTTTGTTGACTGGGTTGAGAGCCCCTGAATCCGGCGTTGACCATTGTGTTGTCCGGACTTTCTTCCTTGTTTCGACGTTTGTTTTTATTGCACCGTGGCTTCCCGTTGCCATCCCTGATTTCGGATGTACTTGGGTTGCTGGTGCCTCGACGGGCCAACCAGTTGTCTTCACCCGCGCAAAAGCGGGTCATAAGGCTTGTTAGGGCTGCCATTGTCCTCGACTTTTCTTGGCCGAGGTGTCTGGCGAGCCACTCGTCCCGGATACTGTGCTTGAAGGCCGCTAGGGCTCGGCATCCGGACAGTCGACAATTTGATTCTTCTTAGTGAGGAATCTGTTCCAAAGCTTGCGGGCGGACTCTCCGGGCTGTTGAATTATGTGACTTAAATCGTCAGCGTTTGGAGGTCGGACATAGGTCCCTTGAAAATTTGTCCTAAAAGCGTCCTCGAGTTCCTCCCAACTTCCAATTGAATTTTTGGAAAGGCTTTTCAACTAGTGCCGAGCTGGTCCCTTTAACTTGAGAGGAAGGTATTTAATGGCGTGGAGGTCGTCCCCACGAGCCATGTGGATATGAAGGATAAAATCCTCAATCCAGACCCCGGGGTCTGTCGTTCCGTTGTATGCCTCTATGTTCACAGGTTTAAAACCTTATGGAAATTCATGGTCCAGTACCTCTTCGATGAAGCACAAAGGGTGAGCAGCCCCTCTGTTTCTGGACGTGTTATGGCATGCCGTCGGCTGTTGATGTGTCCGGTACTGATTCCGAACTGGTACCCGATCAGTCTGATCGTTTTGGTGACCATAGTCCTATGCCGGGGCGTGTCCTCTAGATCCATAGATGGACCTGGTCGCGCCAGCCTTTTTATCCAGGAGCTCACGTAAATCGTGTGCATCGTTGGTAGTTGCTCCATTGCGGTTTCGAAGTGGTTTGTTCGGCCTATTGGTCGTATTGTCCTTCGGTGGAACGGCCTCGTCGTCGAATTCTGGTAGCACCTTGTGCTTTGGATAGCTCTTTGTTTGGCGATCGTCGCCGTACTTTTCTTCAGTGTCTAGTACTTTATTCCATCTGTGATTGAGCATTTCCTGTGCGGCTCTAAGCTTTTGCTTCTGCTTCTTCAGACTTCTCGCAGTGGCAATAAGCCTTCCGTGGAGGTTATCTCGTTCCAAACGTGTCTCGGGGATGATGAATGCATCATCATCCGGACTGTGCTCTTGTCCCAGGGCAGTTTGATGAGTTCGTCCCTCGGGATCATTGTGATCGGGCGTCTGCTTCGAGCTGTGTTCAGCGTGACCTGGTTCATCCTGCTCCATCGCTGGGTCCATATGGTCGTTGTTGCTTTCGGAGTTGACTGTGGTGTCGATCTTTCTAGTGCTGTTATCGCTATTTTTACTGTTGCTGGACTTGGAGAGGCGCCTGCGGCGTCGTTTTGGCTTTTGTCCGGGGGGTTTATCCTCCGTTTTGTCGCCATCGTCCTCCTTAGGCGTATCCACCATGTATATATTGTATGATGAGGTGGCAGTCCAGCGTCTCGTGAGTGGTGGTTCTGAATCGTCCCCTGCGCCGACGTCCATACCGTCGGTGTCATTAGAGTCGAATTCAAGCATGTCTGTCACGTCATCGACAGTGGCTATGAAGTGGGTGGTGGGTGGGCAACGAATTCCTTCATCGCCTGCTTCCCGCTCGAGCCGGACATAGTTCGGCCAAGAGTCTCCTGACAATGAGAGAGACTTTAACGAGTTCAGCGCGTCACCAAAGGGCGAGTGCTGGAAGATATCCGCAGCGATGAACTCCATTACCGGAGCCCACCCGGATTCGGCGGGCTCAAGAGTGCGCGGACTGGAACCTACAACCGGATACGAGTCCGAGGGTTCGGTGTCACAGGCTTCCTTGGGAGTGAAGTCTGTGTTCGGCTCTACCGCCGATGGGTGTGCGGCCTCCGGGGCGAGGTCCATCTACCCGTCCTCGGGCGACGCAATTTGCCCTAGATTTAGGTCCGGGGCTCCTGTAGGGGCGATATCCCGAGCATTGTCCCACAGTAGGTCTGAGCCATGCTCATCGTGACTGTCCGACGCTCCTGGCATAGGCCCGAATCCGTTGAAGATCAATTCTTCATGGATATCAGCCGTGTAGTTTAGGTTTCCGAACCTGACCTGATGGCCAGGGACGTAGCTGTCGATCTGCTCCAGATGGCCAAGCGAGTTGGCCCGCAGTGCGAAGCTACCGAACACGAAGATCTGTCCGAGGAGAAATGTCTCACCCTGGACCATATTGTCGTTGATGATTGAAGGAGCCATCGAGCCTTACAGCGACGACACAGAGGAACTCTCAATGAAAGCACCAATGTCAGTGTCAAAACGGGCGGATCTCGAGTAGGGGGTCCCGATCTGTGCGTCTAAGGCTAATGGTAACAGGAGGCAAGGGACACAATGTTTACCCAGGTTCGGGCCCTCTCGATGGAGGTAAAACCCTACTTCCTGCTTGATTGATATTGATGATATGGTTGTTACAAGAGGTGATCCACCACGAGATCGTAGAGGCTAAACCCTAGAAGCTAACCTATGATGATTATGAATGTTGTGATCGTCCTCATATGGACTAAACCCTCCGGTTTATATAGACACCGGAGGGGGCTAGGGTTTACACGGAGTCGGTTACAAAGGGAATCTAATATCCGGATCCCAAGCTTGTCTTCCACGCAAAGGAGAGTCCCCTCCGGACACGGGACGAAGTCTTGAGTCTTGTATCTTCATGGTCCAACAGTCCGGCCAAAGTATATAATCCGCTGTCCGGATACCCCCTAATCCAGGACTCCCTCAGTGGGCATACCCATCTTAGGTCCCCACGCAAGATTTGAACGAATTCGGACACCAAACGCACGTTGCGTCACGCCCGGTCAGTGTTTTCGGTGCGTTTCACACAGAAAAGCATAAAAAATTCATACAGTCTCGAAAAATTATGAAAACTTGTAGGCATGATGGACCTGGTGATGCGGGCGTGTAGAAAAAGTTTGGGGTCCACCAGCTGAGTCAGACAAGAAAATGCAGTACGGAGCTGACCTCCTTCATATCCAATCAGTGTCGGTTGCATAGGTGGTACGATGTGGCATGCATGAAACGTCACCCAATTTTGGCAGGCAGTGGGCGTGCCCATCGTAGGATCCCAAGCAAGATTAGAACAAATTCGGGCACCAAACGCATGTTGTGCACGCCCGTTCAGTGTTTTCAGTGATTTTCATGGGGAAAATCACCACAAATTCGTACGGTGTCAAAAAATCATGCAAACTTGCAGGCATGATGGACCTG